TATTTTTCCACTAATTGGTATTTTGATCAATCACATCTGATCTTTTCACATCAGATCTTTTTCAGAGCTAATCTGATTGGTCAAAAGACCTATTAGTGAAAAAAAGTAATTAGACTGCTTGTCTAAACCAATGATTTATATATACACTAGATGACTGGTAGGGGGAGCTGTGTTGAAGCCACCCTGCCTCCATCTTGGCACCCCCACCAGTGTAAAAAATAATTTGGAAGCTATAGAAATGAATTTATTAATGACTACATTCGTTTTTGCCACATTTAATTTATTACAGGCACCTTAATGCATACTTTTGAATTATATTGTGTGAACTAAACATAAGAATAAAATTTTTCCTTAAAGTATAATTTTTTGAGCTTACTAATGTTACTGTCCCCACTACAACAAATAAATACTTAAAGACATGTAATTTTGTCCTTGAAACATTTTATTAAAATACTGTAGAATTCCATTCATTCCTATGGAGGACTGCTCCTACTGGGGAGTGCCAATACAGTGGGGAAAAAAATTATTTAGTCAGCCAACAATTGTGCAAGTTCTCCCACTTAAAAAGATGAGAGAGGCCTGTAATTTTTATCATAGGTACACGTCAACTATGACAGACAAATTGAGAGAAAAAAATCCAGAAAATCACATTGTAGGATTTTTTATGAATTTATTTGCAAATTATGGTGGAAAATAAGTATTTGGTCACCTACAAACAAGCAAGATTTCTGGCTCTCACAGACCTGTAACTTCTTCTTTAAGAGGCTCCTCTGTCCTCCACTCGTTACCTGTATTAATGGCACCTGTTTGAACTTGTTATCAGTATAAAAGACACCTGTCCACAACCTCAAACAGTCACACTCCAAACTCCACTATGGCCAAGACCAAAGAGCTGTCAAAGGACACCAGAAACAAAATTGTAGACCTGCACGAGCCTGGGAAGACTGAATCTGCAATAGGTAAGCAGCTTGGTTTGAAGAAATCAACTGTGGGAGCAATTATTAGAAAATGGAAGACATACAAGACCACTGATAATCTCCCTCGATCTGGGGCTCCACGCAAGATCTCACCCCGTGGGGTCAAAATGATCACAAGAATGGTGAGCAAAAATCCCAGAACCACACGGGGGGACCTAGTGAATGACCTGCAGAGAGCTGGGACCAAAGTAACAAAGCCTACCATCAGTAACACACTACGCCGCCAGGGACTCAAATCCTGCAGTGCAAGACGTGTCCCCCTGCTTAAGCCAGTACATGTCCAGGCCCGTCTGAAGTTTGCAAGAGTGCATTTGGATGATCCAGAAGAGGATTGGGAGAATGTCATATGGTCAGATGAAACCAAAATAGAACTTTTTGGTAAAAACTCAACTCGTCGTGTTTGGAGGACAAAGAATGCTGAAATGCATCCAAAGAACACCATACCTACTGTGAAGCATGAGGGTGGAAACATCATGCTTTGGGGCTGTTTTTCTGCAAAGGGACCAGGACGACTGATCCGTGTAAAGGAAAGAATGAATGGGGCCATGTATCGTGAGATTTTGAGTGAAAACCTCCTTCCATCAGCAAGGGCATTGGAGATGAAACGTGGCTGGGTCTTTCAGCATGACAATGATCCCAAACACACCGCCCAGCATTTCAAGGTCCTGGAGTGGCCTAGCCAGTCTCCAGATCTCAACCCCATAGAAAATCTTTGGAGGGAGTTGAAAGTCTGTGTTGCCCAGCGACAGCCCCAAAACATCACTGCTCTAGAGGAGATCTGCATGCAGGAATGGGCCAAAATACCAGCAACAGTGTGTGAAAACCTTGTGAAGACTTACAGAAAACGTTTGACCTGTGTCATTGCCAACAAAGGGTATATAACAAAGTATTGAGAAACTTTTGTTATTGACCAAATACTTATTTTCCACCATAATTTGCAAATAAATTCATAAAAAATCCTACAATGTGATTTTCTGGGAAAAAAATTCTCATTTTGTCTGTCATAGTTGACGTGTACCTATGATGAAAATTACAGGCCTCTCTCATCTATTTAAGTGGGAGAACTTGCACAATTGGTGGCTGACTAAATACTTTTTTTCCCCACTGTATGTCCGACTGGTGGCTTCAAAGCCTCTCAATGGTCAATACATAGTGTCAGCAATCCAGGGTTTATATAAATTGTTTGTCTAAACGCAGCCTAACGCCTCGATCACACCGATAGCGTCATTGCACAAAATGGTACGCAGCATCAACAAAAGTTCAACATTCACCTTCTGCTACCATTTCTGTCAAGCCGTCTACACATACAGTTTGACACATACGTTCGATAAATCCATCGAATGCACCACACAGAACGCACTGCAAATGCAACTGCCTTTAAAAGATACCTTTTAAAAAAGGGTAGGGGCGTGGATCAGAAAACCAGTGTGACCACCATTTGCCTCATGCAGCGCAACACATCTCCTTCGCATAAAGTTGATCAGGCTGTTGATTGTGGCCTGTGAATGTTGTCCCACTCCTCTTCAATGGCTGTGCGAAGTTCCTGGATATTGGCGGGAACTGGAACACGCTGTCGTACATGTCGATCCAGAGCATCCCAAACATGCTAAATGGGTGACATGTCTGGTGAGTATGCAGGCCATGGAAGAACTGGGACATTTTCAGCTTCCAGGAATTGTGTACAGATCCTTGCGACATTGGGCTGTGCATTATTATGCTGAAACATGATCTCACGGTATCTCTGTGCATTCAAATTGCCATCGATAAAATCTAATTGTGTTCATTGTCTGTAGCTTATACCTGCCCATACCATAACCCCACCACCACCATGGGGCACTCTGTTCACAACGTTGACATCTGCAAACCACTCGCCCACACGACGCCATACATGCTGTCTGCCATCTGCCCGGTAGAGTTGAAACCGTGATTCATCCGTGAAGAGCACACTTCTACAGCGTGCCAGTGGCCATCAAAGGTGAGCATTTGTCCACCGAAGTCAGTTACGACGCCGAACTGCAGTCAGGTCAAGACCCTGGTGAGGACGACGAGCACGCAGATGAGCTTCCCTGAGACTGTTTCTGACAGTTTGTGCAGAAATTCTTCGGTTGTGCAAACCCACTGTTTCATCAGCTGTCCGGGTGACTGATCTCAGACGATCCCGCAGGTGAAGAAACTGGATGTGGAGGTCCTGGGCTGGCGTGGTTACATGTGGTCTGCGGTTGTGAGGCCGATTGGACGTACTGCCAAATTCTCTAAAATAACGTTGGCAGTGACTTATGGTAGATAAATTAACATTACATTCTCTGGCAACAGCTCTGGTGGACATTCCTGCAGTCAGCATGCCAATTGCACACTTCCTCAAAACTTGAGTCATCTGTGGCATTGTGTTGTGTGTCAAAACAGCACATTTTAGAGTGGCCTTTTATTGTCCCGAGCACAGGGTCCACCTGTGTGATGATCATGCTGTTTAATCAGCTTCTTAATATGCCACACCTGTCAGGTGGATGGATTATCTTGGCAAAGGAGAAATGCTCACTAACTGTAAACAAATTAGTGCACATCATTTGACGGAAATAAGCTTTTCCTGCATATGGAACATTTCTGGGATCTTTTATTTCAGCTCATGAAACATGGGACCAACACTTTACATGTTGCGTTTATATTTTTGTTCAGTGTATAAGATGATGGGAATTAGTAGAACATAATTAGTTTCATTGTGATGTAGTGCAGAATATACAGCACAGTTCATATCTATGCTGTCTATATCTAGGCAGATCACATGAACAGTCCTAGATATGACATCATAATGCAATGGGGATGTCATCATCACAACAGTTTGGGTGATAATAATGAAGCCTCCCTGTATGTCAATGTACTACTGCTTCTGCTAAGAGGTCCTGGTTTTTATGGCACATGTGTGCACTTGCCCCTGATAACACAGTAAGGATAATGATCAACTTTATTTGTAAAGCGCTTTTCAAACATTACGCTCAAAGCGGTACATATAAGGTACTCAATCATAATGTTATTAAACAAAAACACATTCTGCTCTTCTATTGCCCTCTGCATATGAGTTCCCCGAAAGGACATTTTGGAACCCGCACTGCAAAAGCTCTCAACCTTAGCTGTAGTTTAGCTCTGTAGGTACTTTGGAAGGGCCTGCTGAGGCCTGGATTCAATCTGATCTCGCTTTAATTTCTCCCTGGTTTCATTTCAACCAATGGTATTTGGGGACCCTGGCTGAGCAGGTCACATAGGGTTTGGTCATACTTGGGATGAAACAAGGTTTCTGCAGAGTCTCATAGATTTCCGCTGTTCGTGTTTTGGATGAATACAATTGTTGTCTCACATTGAGCAAATGCCACATTTGTTTCCTCTGCAAAAATATCAGGAAAGGGAAGGAAACTGACATTCAGCCAAAGAAGTTACAAAGGTTGCTGTAGTGGGCCTCCCGAGAGGCGCAGCGGTCTAAGGCACTACAACGCAGTGTTGCGGTGTCACTACAGCCTGGGGTTCGATCCTCTCCCGAGCCCGTTGGGGAGTTGTAGCGATGAGACAAGATCATAATCACGAAATTGGGGAGAAAAAGGGGGTAAAAAAATAAAATAATAAAGTTGCTGTAGTGCTAGCCTTTACTAGCAGTCAAACATTGAATTCATAGATGTCATATAATTTGAAGGAGTCTCTCATTTTGCCTATCATATCCCTGTATGTTTGTAGCTGCATTTCCTGGCAATTTTTTAAAGTAGACTCAGCAAAATGACATCCTTACACACAGCCGGGGTGACTTCTTGCTTACAGATATCAACATTGACAACATTCAAATCAGTGAAAGACTGCCACTATTAGCTCCATCCAAAAGGAGGGCGCAAATTGAAAAGAGCCAATCTTGGCATATTTTAGTCTTGTTGTTGATATTCACCCTGTTGTGTATGATAATGCCATATTGCTGAGTGTACCTTTCAGTCGCTGCAGATGTTTGAAGTCCTAGGAGGGCATGAAATGCTATGGGATAGTAAACTCATGTTCACTCTCACAGGCGCTACGAAGATGACCAACCGGGCTGCGCTCTGGTATGTCCCCTTCTCTCTGAAAGACGTGGACAATGTCACAGAGGTGCCTCCCATCAAGGTAGGTCAATGGACAGAGAAGGATGAAGTTGACCCTAGACACTGATCTATGGTTAGTTTTGCATTTCCCTCACATGATGGTTAACATGCATGTGTCCCTTCTAGTATGCCAGCCCGGAGCAGGAGGAAGAGGGGAAGAAGCGCTACGAGGCTCAGAAGATGGAGAGACTAGAGACGAAGGAGAGGAACGGAGAGCTGCTCATGCCTGTGTCTGCCCCAGGTAAACACCTCTGACGCCTATTGCTGACCTCTGACCTTTAGGACTTATGGGATTGAACTCCTCCATACGATCTAAACCCTAAGGGTTGGATAGAGGGCACATTTTCCATAATGGCAAAGATAGGGTGTGTGCTCTCTATCCAATTCTATGTCTAAATCGGAGCAGTAGCATAGATATCACCCATTAGAAGCAAGTCTGTTTAGCCTAGTGGTTAACAGCTTTGGGTTAGTAAAAAGGGACAATGCAAAGGTTGCTGGTTCAATTCTCCGAACCGACTAGGTGAAAAATCTGTGGATGTGTCCTTGAGCAAGGTACTTAACCCTAATTGCACCTGTAAGTTGCTCTGGATAAGAGCAATTGCTAAATGACAAAAATTTAAAATTGCTGTGTTTGAGAACCATGTTTGAATTCTCCCTAGTTGTAAACTAAATGAATGTAAAAGTGTGATGGCTCAGTTGGTTTGGCCATGGTGCTACTGCCTCTTGTCACAAAGTACAGTAGTTACCAGTTGTATTGAATTATTTGATGTAGGTACCAGAAAGTATACATTATATCACATAAATCACTCTTACCCTAGTAAATAAGTAAAGATCAGTTAAAGTGCCAGCTTAAACCGAAGTAGTACAAAGTATGGTATAATTTCAAAACTGTGTGTATTACTGGTGAATAGCTGATCTGACAGTAAAATAGCATGTTGGTTTTCTTTCTCCACCTAATTGTGATTTTCCTGGTTCGTTTGACCTGCTGCACAGACAGAACAACGAAAGGTACGTCTGTATGGATTCTCTAAAGGCTGCACGCATGTCAGCACAGAGATATTGGGATGGATGGATGTCATTTTTCCATCCTTGAACACTTCGCAAAGTATTCCTGGTTATTCCCTGATGATTTTAGTAATACTGAGGCCATTTAACTGTCTCAATACTTATATTTCAACTCTGTTTTTTTTCTGTGTGTGTGCGCATGCTTGTGTGTGTTGCAGAGCCCTACACGGTCGGCTTTAGCCAGTCAAGTCTGATCCATCTGGTGGGGCCTTCAGACTGCACGCTGCATGGCTTCGTACATGGAGGTGAGTAAAGCTGCTCGGTCACTTCTACTGTGTGTGTGTGTGTGTGTGTGTGTGTGTGTGTGTGTGTGTGTGTGTGTGTGTGTGTGTGTGTGTGTGTGTGTCATTCAACAGAGTTTTAGATGGTTTGTACATTCCAGATAGAGAGGAAGGAAGAGACAGAGAGGCAGCAGCATCCAACCTGGATGCCTTATGTAAACACGACAGTAGCAGCATCCTCAGCAGCGTGCTCTGCATAGCGTTCTTAATGAGCCACTCCATGTGAGCGAGGGGGGAAGCATGAAAAGGGCACCGACTGCATTCTAAATGGCCGCCGCCGCTTGTTCCCCATTTGCCTCTTAATTGGACACATTCCTCAGTGGGTCCAAATGAAAAAGTCAGACATTTCACATCAGCCTCTTAACTGTGTCTGACTTTTTCATTTGGACCCACTGAGGAATGTGTCCAATTAAGAGGCAAATGGGGAACAAGCGGCGGCGGCCATTTAGAATGCAGTCGTGCCTCTCTGCTGCTATCTATCCTTTCCTCTCTTCCCTTGTGTCTCTTTCTCTCTCCTCCTTTCTGTTTATTTCTCGTTCCCTCTGTAGCGATCAATGCAAATGAATACAGAAATGTAATATTGTCGCAAAACAACCACATTGACCTGACACATTATCACTGTGGCACGCAAACAATCAGTTGCTGCTTGAAGAGTTTAAAACTTCAGAAGACTGCAAGTGAATGCTGTTTTTTTTGCCCAGTATCTTTGGCCATCTGCAGAAAGTAAACACATACTTTTTTATTTCCAACAACTCTCTCCAACAAGTTTTGAGGTGGATTGATTTTCCCAGCATTCAAAAGTGATGTGAACCTAGTCATGAAGTTACTGGCCCTGACAGCCCAGCCTTTTCCCGGCAAGCGGAGGTGTCGATCTTTTCCCATGCGCTGATCTGTATTTCTCTCCGATGGCCATTCTTGTGGTAATGAGCACATCACAGATGAGGAGCAACAAGGAGGCTTAGGTTCCCAGGCTGCCAGTTATCGATCGCTCATCATACACAGCTAAAGTCATCATGGGCCTTTTTTACCCCCCCCCTCTCTCTCTCTCTTCTCCTCCTCTCCTCTCTC